GCTGGGGAATCAAACTCAGGGCCTCGTGTACACTAGCCAGGTACCCTACCACTGAGCTACACCCCCAGTTCAAGGCAGCATTTTTAAACATTTCATTTCAGCTTAGAAAAGCAGAGCCTACCGAGCTGTTATGGGCTACACACACCGTAAAAGAAAGTTTCCTTATGTATTCAGAAAACAGAGCACTAAAAACATCAAAGGTATTTCAAACTACAATCCTCCCTCCTCAGTTCTTTCAGTCCTGTGTCATTAATTCTTGTTGTTCCCATGGATTATCTTTCTTCTTTTTTGTTTTTGTTTTTGTTTTTGGTACCAGAAATTGAACTCAGGATCTTGTGCTTGCCAGGCAGGCACTGTGCCTGCTGAGATATATCCCCAGCTTTTTCCTTTTTTGTAGTATTGGGGATTGAACCCAGAGCCTTCACTGGGAATGTGCTACATTCCCAGTCCTTTATTTTTTTATTTTGAGACGGGGTCTCTAAATTACAAAATTGCCCAGACTGGGTTTGAATTTACAATCCTCCTGCCTCAGCCTCCCAGAGTGCTGAGATTACAGGCATCAGCACCACATCCAGCTTCCTCTGGATCTTGGATTAACAATCTCACAAAGCCACCTACTTCTTGTCTAAGAAAATTTCAAAAAGCCTAACTCAACCCACTGGTACAGTTTGAAAGTTGTCTAAGTGATCGCAAAAGAAGACTGTACCAAAGACTGTATCACCTCACACATCTTTCTTCTCCCCAGACAAGTCTTGCTATGTAGTACAAGACTTGTAGTGGCCTTGAGCTCACGGTCCTCCTGCCCTAGCCTCCCAAGCGCTAGGGTTACGGGGGGTGTGCCACCAGCCTTAGAGTCTATCCTTTAAAGTATCAAGAGTTTGATGTATCTGGCAAATTCCTTTCCATATCATGGGGAAGGGGAGGCTCTGAAAGGTCTCTTCTTTGTCAGAGACATAAATTCTTGGCTGATTGCTAACTGTTGAGTCACCATAGAGGCATCAGAGGAAAGTAAAATCTATCTGTGGATGACCTCATAGTGAAATGGATCATACTGCTACTTGTTTTAAGAGTGTGAAAAGCATACTCTTCTTTCACTGCAATGTTACAGGGAAAAAATGAAGTTAACTGAGTAGAGCTAGGATCCGTAATAATGTGTGTGTGTGAGTGAGTGTGTGTGAGTTGGTGGGGATCAAGCCCAGAGCTTCTCACACACTAAGCAGGCGCTCCACCACTGAGCCACACACCAGTCACATGACAGATTCCTGAACTCTCTGATTTCGTGCCTAACATTGTGCTTTTTTGTTTTGTTTTGTTTTTCCGGTACCGGGAATCAAACTCACGACCTTGCGCTTGCCAGGCAGGCGCTGTGCCGCTGAGCTAAAACCCCAGCCCCAGCGTTGTGCTTTTTGAAGAGCAATGCCTCATAGCTTTCATCAGATCCTCAAAGAAGTCTCTGTCCTCAAAAAGATTATGAACAGCTGAACCAGATGGGTTGTGAGACTCCTCCGAGCTGACACTTTGATTTTCTGATCAGCCGTTCCTCCTCCGGCCATTTCATCCCCTACCCGGAGGCTCGGCCGCAGGCCTGGGGCGACTCAGCAGCCCCAGCGGGACTTTCTAGTGCTTTCCTTAGAAGGGTCTGCCTACCCTCACCCTGAACACTGGAACGCCCCGGTCGGTGCTGTTTCTCTTGCTACTTTAATACAGTTAATTCCGTGTAGACCATCTTTTTTTGTTTTTTGTTTTTACTGACAATTACACGAAGTGATTTTTTTTTTTTTTTTTTGTACCGGGAATCAAACTCAGGACCCTGCACTTACCAGGCAGGCGTTGTGCCACTGAGCTAAATCCCTGGCACCGACAAAGTGATTTTTTCATGCATAAATATTTCCACCTTCTAGTAACCTAAGTTCTGCCTTTGAACTTTTTACCTCTTTGAAAGCCCAATTTGGAGCTGATATGGTTCATGTAAACTTGTTTTGAAGGAAATGGCTGAGAAGAAATCTGGGTAATTTGAGTATCCAGCTAATACATGGTGGCAATGGATTATACACCAGAGAATAAAAATGTGTTTATGAGTCCTCACTGACGTAAATGAATGGGAGGAAGGGAAAACTTTCCCATATAATAGAGCAACAACACATTTAGAAGGAAGATGCTGATGAGGAATATAGTCTCAAAGAATATCCTCACAATGTACTTATTAATTTCAAATGAAAAAACAGTTACCTTTAGAGAGAAGAAATCTGATAGCTTTTTAAAAAAATAATACAGGGGAACAAACCCCGGGGCTCACACATGCTAGGCAAGCAAGAGCTCTATCTCCAGCCTTCTAAACTTGAGACAGGGCCTTGCTAAGTTGCTCAGTCTGGCCTCGAACTTGTGATCCTCCTGCCTCAACCTCCTGAGCACCTAGGATGGCAAGAACCACCTTCACCAAGTGACTAACACTGACATCCTTGCCTCCTTATAAGAAGCACGGAGGACACAGGACCTCTTCTGTGCTATTGGTACTAAATATGCACGTGTAGCTGCACTCCTACACCCAGGAAACATCAAGGCCTCCCCAGATCAGGGATAATCTACAGAATAACTAGTCTGTAGTCTACGAAGACAACACAAAGGTTAAACGACGATTTCAGGTTTAAAGAGACTAACAACTAACTGCTGTGTGTGATCCCGGCTCAGATCCGAGGCTGGAAAAACCGTGCTGTAAGTGACATTCCTGGGACGGTGGACACAATCTGAAAATAGGCTCTGGATGAGCTGTATCAAAGTTTAACTTCCTGATTTCAATACCCATACTGTGGTAATGAATTTCACTGTTCTTAAAGAGACATACTTTTTTTTTGGTACCGGGACTCGAACTCGCGACCTCGCTCTTGTCAGGCAGGTGTAGTTCCGCTGAGCTACATCCCCAGCCCAAAGAGACATACTTGAAATATTATGGGTATAAGGGCCACTATCCCAATTTACAGTCTCAAAAGTTCCAGAAACAAAAGCACACAGAGAGCAAATGGAGTAAAATGTAAATAAGTGGATAAAGGGTACAAGAGTTTCTTCTACTAAGACTTTTGTGAAATTATATGAAAATAAATTACAATGATCAACCAAACTAAAACCTTTTATATCATCCTACAGAACTAAAAATATTCCTAAATACAAGAAATCCCTACTTTCTTATTAAACACACTTAAACATACAGAACCTTTCTGAAACAAATTTCTGTAAGGTTCTACATCTTCGATAAGCACTTATGCACTATTTATGAGTGAGAAAAATTAATTTAACAATTTAACTAATTTCCCATATACTCAAAGTGTGTTCTTCTAAGTTACTCTGTTGGCAAGCATGAGGGAGCCTTTGATGTGCCAGACACATTTTGGGTGTTAGGTGAACCCAAGAGAACAAACCTTTAAAAAGCTTATATTTTAGGAGGGGGAGACAGACAATGAACAATAGACATGATGAATAAGTCAGTGACATACTGTAGGTAAAGTACTGTCAGTACTGTACTGACCTTTGCAGATATCTGTTTATAGAGCTATCTTGGCAAGTGCAAAGACCCTGAGGTAGAAGTGGCCTAGAGTTTCAAGTAGCAGTAAGATGAGAAGTGCTGTAGAAAGAGTGGAGCAGAATAAGGGGCATCAAAAGTATATGGGGAAGGCTGGCCTTCGTGACACAGGCTATGTCGCAGCACTCAGGAGGCTGAGACAGGAGGAGCACCACAAGTTTTGAGGCCAGTCTTGGCTACATAGTGAGTTCAAGGCTCTCTGTAATACATAGTGAGACCCTGTCTTACAAAAAAAAAAGTGTAAGGAGAAGGAAGCCAGGCCAGAATGCAACCTTTTTTAAAAAAAAATTTTATTTTTTTGGTTATTTTCTGGTACCGGGAATCAAACTCACGACCTTGCACTTGCCAGGCAGGCACTGTGCTGCTGAGCTAAATCCCCAGCCCCGCAGGATGCAAACTTAAGAAGGGTAGGCAGGCAAAATCTCACTGTGGGGAAGACATCTGAGTATGTATAGACATGAAGGGAGTGAGCTTTGCAGATATCTGTTTATAGAGCTATCTTGGCAAGTGCAAAGGCCCTGAGGTAGAAGTGGCCTAGAGTTTCAAGTGGCAGTAAGACAGCCACTGTGATTACAGTGGAGTGGGAGATAATACTCTTGCTCAAAATCTTCCACTGGTTTCCTATTTCTTTTAAAAAGTCCTTGTAGCAAAGTTTAACATCCTACAGACCTGATTCTTCTTACCTTTTCCTTTCTGCAAGTACATACACATTTTTGTTTTAACTATAGTGGGACAAAAAAATCTTTTTTGAAATGCATTATCAGGAGCCAGGCATGGTGGCACATGCCTGTCATCCCAGCACTCGGGAAGCTGAGGCAGGAGGATCGTTGCAAGTTCGAAGCCAGCCTGGGCTACAAAGTGAGCTCAAGGTCAGCCTGAACTGCATAGCGAGACCCTGTCTCAAAAAGACAAAAAAATAAAAAATAAATGCTTTATCACCAGGCTTTGGTGCACGCCTATAGTCCTGCTGCTCAGGAGGCTGAGGCAGGAGGATTTCTTGAGCTCAGGAGTTTGAGACCAGAGAGAACCACACAACTTCAGATTATGTCGCTCATTTCAGCTCTAGACTGACACCTGTTTTCCAGAAGAGAAAAACAGCTCAGCAAGAATGAACTGTTGAAGGAACAGCTAGTGGCAGCACCAAGCAGCAAGAGAACCAGTACTTAGTCCTCAGAAGCCATCTTCGCCACCCCCGGCTTTCTCAGCAGCTCATCTCAGTCTCCCAGATGCACCCCGAAGACAAAAGCACGAAGTTCCCTCATCCAAGAATAAAACGTTTTACCCTATTATTCTTGAGGGACAATTATGGAGCGTTTCAGGTTGTGTCACTGATTACTCGCTAGCATTCTGCAACTCCAAATAACTTCAGGGTTCCCATGGCAACACACTCTACCTTGGAAGCTGACATTGTTCCCTAATTCACGTGGGAAGGAACAAGAGTTTCTCCTAGGAAGTTGGCAGCAGGTGGGAGAGGCCAGGGCAGGAGAGTGGAGACCGGGATGGTATCACGGATTTTGTCCAGCCGAAGATGGTGAAACTGCCTTGTTCACCAGAGTGACCAGCCAATCTTTAACAATCTTGGATGGATCCCAAGGAAAGAAGTCTAACACGCTACGATTCTTGGCAGGACCACGGCCAGAAATTACCATTTTAAGTTCCGTCAAGTCAAAGCAAGGCCAACTAAGTTCTCTGCAAGGATGGTATTTTCACAGAAAAGATGCTGCGCACCAAAAAGATGTATGTTTGCAGATAAACTTAAAATCCTATCACACGAAATTATCTGATGTCTGCAGTCTAAATCAGAAAACTGTGCTTTGACTCACAACACTTCTGCCACCAAATGTGTGCTTTGTTTCTGTACCAATTGTCCAACTCACAGGACAGCCACGAGTGTCCATGACTTAATCCTGCCAGTAATTATGAGTAAGCACAGGCCAAAGATTAAGTACTCAGTCCCATACAGACTGTCCCCAGCTGTATTTTTGATGGGATGGTTGACTATAAACAGGGGACTCTCGGGGCTGGGGATTTAGCTCAGCGGCACAGCGCCTGCCTGGCAAGCGCGGGGTCGTGAGTTCAATTCCTGGTACCGGGAAAAAAAAAGATAAATAGGGGACTCTCAAAACCCCTTCTTTGGGTATAGTGTTTTGCTAGAACAGTTATTACAGAATTCAGGAAAGCACCTTACATACTTTTACTTATTTATTACAGAGGCTACAACTCAAAATGGCTGGGCAGAAGCGACGCATGGGGCTACCTGTGGGTGAGGGATTTCATGAACTCTCCAGCAGTGCCAATCTCCCAGCACCTCAGTGATGCTGTTCACTGCCAACCTGATTGGTTGGCCACGGGATTAGTAAAAGCACACTTCTGGGTGAGTCGCGGAGGCATGACCTTGAAGACTGTATCTGGTCCCTGGCCCCTGGCCCCTGGCCCCTTTCCTCTGTGGCACTATCTCCCAGCTCTGCTTCCCAGATGGCCTGAACTGAGCAGCTTGGCTGTACTACACCCTTCAACCATGATGTTCCTGCTTTGCAACCAGCTAACCATGGACTGAATCTCATGAAACCGTGAGTCTAATTAAACCTCTTCTCCTCTAGATTATGGGTGTTGGGTATTCTGTCCAGCAACAGAAAAATTAATACTTTCATCAACCACCAAATCCACTGAAATCTCACTGTTAAAGAATGGTGGTGCCTGCCTATAATCCCAGAACTTTGGGAGGCTGAGTCAGGAGGATTGCAAGTCGGAGCCCAGCATAGGCAATTTAGTGATTTAGGAAGATCCTATCTCAAAATAAATAAAATGAACTGGTGATATACCTTACTGCAAAGGCCATGTTCAATCCACAGTAAGGGAAAGGGGCTTAACCTCCCCACTGCCCCTTTATTGGAGGTTGTAGGTTTTGATACAAGTTCCAGTTCTCTAATACAGTATTAGGTCTTTCTGATGACCAGCCTCATCCTAAGGACCCTCCAGTAAGGGTCCTTTATTCATTAGCATAAATTCAGGTGTGATTAGAAAATGAACTTCTTCATAACAAATGAACTCTATCACTCAGGAAGTGCAAGGGTTTTAGGAGTTATGTGCTAAGAATCTCAGCAAAAGCTAAATATTACATATATTTTTTTTTTGGTCTGGAAAAGAGTTTTGCTATGCAGTTCAAGCAGGCCTTGAACTCACTTTGTATCCCAGGTTAGCCTTGAACTCACAGTGATCCTTCTGCCTCAGCCTCAAGTGCTGGGCTTGCAGGTCTGTGCCACCAGGCCTGGCTGTAAATACTATATTTCTTATAATGCCACAATTACACTGAAAAGGATCACAAGAATACAATGCATTGGCCGAGAGAGACAGGTAAGGGGCTGGGGATTTAGCTCAGCGGCAAAGCGCCTGCCTGGCAAGCGCAAAGTCGTGAGTTCGGTTCCCGGTACCAGAGAAAAAACAAAAACAAAACAAAACAAACGAGAGAGACAGGTAAGCACATACCACACTAAGCAAGCATAGTAACACAGTAACTGTAGAAGCCAAGTGTTCGTCATCACTGTAATTTGTTTTCTCTAAATTTGAAAATTTCACAGTTAGAAGTTGAAATAAGCTTTAAAAGATATCACATGATAAGAAAACAGGGATGAGATAAAAGTATGAGGAGGAAAGGTGGTAGAGAAAGAGGAAAAGAGATAAAAGGAGAAAGGGAGATGGGAGAGTATGCCTTCAATTTCCTCCTTACCAGCTGTCCATGAGAACTGCTTATGGCCGATTTTTGACTGTGCTGGATTGAAATTATTGAAATATGTCTTAGTGTTAAAGGAACCCAAAGAACCAGGTGTGGTGGCACATGCCTATGATCCTAGCACTGAGGCAAGAGGATCTCAGGTTTGTGCCAAAGCTGGGCAATTTAGTGACTTAGCAAGACCTTATCTCAAAACGAAGGGTCCAAGGGGCTGGGAATACAGCTCAGCGGCATAGCGCCTGCCTGGCAAGTGCAAGGTCCTGAGTTCGATTCCTGGTACCAAAAAAAGAAAAAAAAAAAGATTGATAAATCAAAAAGAAGAGTCAAGGACTCTGGGGATGTAGTCTGGTGCCAAGCCTCTGGGGTTCAATCCACATACTGAAAAATAAAGAAAAAAAACCTGAAGGAATTTTTAAGAACGCCAAATTACTAAAAGGTATCTTTTAGCCAGAAGTTCAATATCCCAAAATAGAAGTAAACCTGTTTCCTGTTTGCAATACTGGGGATTGAATCCAGGGCCTGGGGCGTGCTAAGCAAGCCCTCTACCGCTGACGTACACGCGCCATCACGCTGTAGTTTTTAAATCTTAAGGCCTGTTGCTCAGGACCCAGGACTAGTGGGAACAGCTGGAAAACGCCAAGCTTGATGCTCATTTTTCATAGTGTTCAAAAAAGTGACTGTAAATGTAAAAACAAGACTTCATTAAAAAAAATCTTTGCAATTTGAAGGTAAAAATTTCCTGAGTTTCATTAAGATATTGTACACAGAGGTAAGTTTACTTTTACTCTAGAGAGCAACTGAAACGTGGCGTTTGTGAAAATGGAGCCACCTGGTGGTCAGAGCGGGGAATAGCCCAATTTTCCCACCAAGCCCCCACTCCCACTGGGGTTTCAAGACAGGGCCTCGAATGCTCCACTGAACTGCATCCCCAGCCCTTTTTATTTACCTTTGAGATAAGGTGGCCCTGTGTTTCCCAGGTTGGCCTTGAATTTGCCCTCCTGACTCACCCTTCTCCATGGTACCGGGAACCACGTACCATGGGTGTCTCTGGCCGCACCTTCCTCTTTTCTAGCTTTCCCTCCCTCTCTCTCTCTTTGGGGAGCACTGTAGACTAGTCTTTTTATTTTTATTTTTATTTTTTGTCTTTTTGAGACAGGGTCTCGCTATGTAGTTCAGGCTGGCCTTGAGCTCACTTTGTAGCCCAGGCTGGTCTCAAACTCACAGCGATCCTCCTGCCTCAGCCTCCCAAGTGCAGGGATTACAGGTGTGCGCCACCATGCCCGGCAGACTGGTCCTTTTAATCTCCATTGTTTCCAGATGTTCACCAGACATATGAGGAACTTCTACCATGCTACAAAGAGCGAAGGACTTGGAATCAGGAAAACTGGTCACTATACTCTTTATACCCCCAGCCCCCATGCCTAGTATTAATTTTTCTGTGTGTGCTGAGGATGGAACCCAGGGTCTCTACCACTGACCTACTCTCGCAGGCCCACCTTCATATATATTAACTTGAGTGCAGTCATCTGGGACATTCCAAGGGAAATCGGTGACACAATGTCTGTCTTAGAGTCTGGAAGAGCCTCCAGTTGTCTTCTAGTTGAAAAGTGCCAAAGGAAAGAGTGACACCTTAAAAGACCTGGGTGCTGACAGCTGCTGTAAGTTCACTAATCACGTGATTTGTGGAAAGTATCCCCCGAGTCTGCTTTTCTTAGATATTATCTCCTCCCCTCGTTCACAGGACTGTTGAGTCCTTAGGTCCATTTCTGGGATCAGCAGCCTAGACCCTGCCTGACTCTCCTCTGTTTTTCCTCAGCAGAAGACGCCACCTTGGCTGCTTCCAACGGCATAGCTGCAGCCATTGCAGGGACGAAGGCTGACGTGAACAGAACATGCCCTAGAAAGCTCACTGAAGACCAAGGAAACGAGTCAAAGCTATTAAAATGGTTGGACTCAATATGAGTTATCTACATTTTATGAAGTAAAAAAAAATGAATTGGGGGTGGTGGTGCATGGCTGTAATCCTAGTACTCTGGGAGACTGAGGCAGGAAGACTGCAAGCTCAAGGCCAGTCTGGGAAACTTAGTGATTTGTTTGTTTGTCTTTTTGAGACAGGTTTTCACTATGTAGTTCAGGCAAGCCTTGAGCTCGCTTTGTAGCACAGGCTGGCCTCAAACTCACGGCGATTCTCCTGCCTCAGCCTCCCAAGTGCTAGGATTACAGGTATGTGCCACCATGCCTGGATAACTAGTGATTTAGATCCTACCTCAAAAATAAAAAAAAAGGTGGAGGAAGCAGCTCAGTGCAAGTCTTTGCATTCAATCCTCAGTACCAGGAAGGCGGAAAAAATGGTAAATTTGGTGAGGAAGCCATTAAGTGAATAGAACCGTGTCCTGACACAACCTCCCTGGATCTTGCTTTACCTGTAAAATGGAAAAATAAGATGGCCACTTTCCTGTTCTCTTTCTTTTTTGTGGTGTTGGGGGTCAAACTCAGGGCCTCACGAATGCTAGGCAAGCAAGGAGCACCAAGTTCCTAGGGATGGTATAAGAATTCCATTTCAGCCCAGCGTCTGGTTGGTGGAAAGCCTGGGCCGGGCTGCCTCAGTGACCCTCACCATACGGCCAGGGTGTTCATTTTGCTCAAGATCACAGTTCAGTTCTGACATAGACTTCACTTCAAAGCCCAGAATTTTAAAACCTTTTTTACTGCAAAGCATAATAAAATATGGAAACGTACATGAAACACACAGATTAACGAATTATAAAATTACCCATGCAATCAATAACCATATTGATCAAAACTATAGCTTTGAAGGTAATCTTTCCATGTATCCCACACACACACCTGGGGTAACCACTGCCCCTATTTCAATAGTAGTCACTTCCTAGCTTTTCCTTACAGCTTTATGAACTCATATCTTTTGTTTGATGTCTGTGGTAAACATTCTAATATTCATCTGTGTTGCAGCAAGTTAACTGTGTATAAAAATACCGTAATTCACCCACTTTTTGAAATTGAAATTGTTTCTAGTTTTTGACATTTACAAATGCCACTGTCCACATTCTTATACATGTGCCCTGATGCATCTGAGCGTGTCTCTCCAGGATAGAGATTTAAGGAGTGTTAATTTAATCCTGGGTCATGAGGTGTATGTGTTTCCAAAATATTTTTTTCTTGATATTGGGGATGGAATGTAGTAAACACTGAGCTACAACCCCAGCTTTTCTGTTTTGTTTTTTGAGACAAGGTCTTGCCACGTTGCTCAAGAAGGCCTCAAACGTGATCTTTTTGCCTCGGCCTCCTAAGTGCTCAGTTAAAGATGCGCTCCACCACACTTGGCTCTTGTTTCCGAAGTACCCAGTAAAGGGGAACTGTTTCATAAATTAATTGTTCTAATTCACTTTGCCACTAGCAGGGTATGAGTGTTTCCACTGCACCACGTCCCCACCAACACTTGCCCCTGGCAGACGTTGTTTCCTCACTCCCCTGAACAGCATTTCGGCGTGGTCTGCATGCACCTGGACACACATTTCCCTGATCACTACTGAGGCTGAGCAGGTTTATGTTTAGTAATCACTGGAATATCCTCCCTGCTGTGCTTATTTATGAGCCAAATGTTTGCTCCAGGTTTTTGTTTTTTTTCAGACACTCACCTAAAATCTAAGTCACTAAGCTGCTCAGATGGGGCTCGACCTTGCGATCCTCCTGCCTCTGCCTCCCATGAGTGCTGGGGTTGGAGGCATTTGATACTACACCCAGGTTTTCCTCCAGTTTTTTATAGTGTGACTAATGTTCTTCTTTCCACTCTGCTTCAGGAGAGGTTCTTGATAAATGGTTCAAACAACAGAGAGAGGGAGGCTGTATTTCCAGGTTATTCTCTGTAACACTCACAGTGCTAAAGAGACATGTCCAGAGTAGGCTTAACAAATGCGGCTTAATAAATGCAAAGTGATTGAGAACACAAATCCATAATCCTTATCTGCAGTCTTTTAATTCTTCTGTTTTTGGTATAAAATTCATTTGCACCCAAAACCTGAACTTAAATGAGGCAACTTGTAGTTTTTATCATGTTTCTTCTAGAAACATGTTTGACTACAGATTCTGCTGTGGACCCTGCTGGGGAACAACATACAAATATACCTATGTCCCAGAGGTACTAAAATCTGAAAATGTAATCGCTAAACACATCCGGCCACATGGAAAGTAAAGCCAGGATTGTGGACCTAGTATATACTAAAACAAAACAAAAAGTGCTTTCCTTTACTAGAGATTGAACCCAGAAACAGTCTACCATTAAGCTATATTCCCAGCACCACCACCCCCTTTATCTTTTAAATTCTGAGACAGGGTCTAAGTTGCCCAGACTTGGCTCCAACTTATGATCCTTATGCCTCAACCTCCCCAAACCCCTGGAATTAGAGGTATGCACCACTGCAGCTGGCTCACTGACTGAACTGCTGTAACGTTTCTAGTATCATGAACAAATGCTTTATATACATAATAGGACTGCTGTGACAATTAAATGAAGTGTTATTATTTCACATTTATACAGGAAACATCAGACAAGTTAAATTGCCTAGTAAGATGCATGTTCACTGACATTAGTGTATTTTACAAAATGCATACATAGCACATTTGAACATAGCTTATACTGAAGGATAATTTAATGGTATCATCACTACATACATAAAAGTACTAAATTAGTGAGCGAAACTGAATGCCTGGAGCAGAGTCGTAGAGAAACGTGATTTAGATGGATCAGTCACAGTTACAGAACTCGCAGAACCCTCAAAGAGAACCTATGATGCTGATTTTAAGAACACTGAGGCCCACTGAGATTAATGGATATATCCAAAGCCTCACAGCTAGGCAGTCGGCAAACATGAAGATTTTCTGTTCTCCCTTGGTACTGGGGAATTGAACCCAGAATTTGTATGCTAAGCAAGTACTCTTAGCGCTGAGCCACATTCCCGTTTTTTTTAAGACGGCGTCTTACTAAATGGCCCATGCTGGCCTCAAATAGGACCCTGCTGATTAGGCTCCCAAGCAGCTGGGATTACAGGCGTGGGCCACCCCACCCAGCTAAACATACTAGCTTTAGTTTGTTAAGCCCTTAACAGGGCTTTCTGACATCGGAGAGATCAACAACCAAGAGTGCGCTCCTCTTCGTGCGGACTTTCAAGAAAATGTTAATCCTGGAAATCTCAACACCAACAAAGCAAATTTCCAAAGATTTCAAACCCCTTTCTCCCTTGGCAAATTTACCTATTTACTTTGAGTCTCAGCAGCTCGTTTCCTTGCGCAAGGCCGACCGCTTCATCGCCCTGCCTCCACCTTCACCGCCTCGGGAGCCTTGGCTCGGCAGCTGCCCTCCTCCCGCGGTGCCTCCAACCCTCCCATTCTCAACTAACTCTCCCAAACTTCAGTGCCCAAGGCCCCCGCATTTCTTTAGTTACCCATTTCCTTCTCCTTCCTTTCTTTGAAAGTTTCTTGAGAGTTGTCTTCACTCATCTTCTTGCCTTTTACTTCCTCAATCCGCTAGCAATTTCCTTTCCTGCGACGTTCCTCGGGAACCGCTTGGGAGAGGTCTATCGTATTGCCAATTATTATGGTTACGTCATTATCTTGCCTACTCTCTGCTGTCTGGTGCTGTTCATCATTTCCTTCCTTGAAATTTCTCTCCCATGGGCTTCGCGTTGCTCCTGTCATCCAATCCTCTTCAGAGTTTCATCTACAGCCTTCACCTCACTTGTGCTTCAAGCTACATATGCACGGACAGATTTCCAAACCCAAGTTTTCAGTGTCTCCACAGACACATCCAATTATTTAGCCATCCTCAGGAACCTGGGCAACCTGATCCTGCAACCCTTGGCTCAGGGTGTAGCTACCACCTACTAGATAATCCAGCTAGAGCTCTGGTGGGGATGCTGGGCCCTCTGCATCTCCAAATCCATCCCTGATTCCGACCTCGGCCTTATCCAGTGCGCCTGGGAGAGGAAGATATTTGTCTCTTCTGGTTCATCTGAGCATTGTCTTTTGAATTCCTTTTTCATACACTTGAAAAATACTAGAGCTCACCTTGGTATAGATATTAATCTACCTCTTAGGAAATACCTGTACGCCCTTCCCCTAAGAGTTACAGGTATACTGAACCATTTGCTCACACTTAGATCAAAACATTTTTGGAGAAATCACAAGATATTTAGAAGTACCAGAAACGGGCATTATTAAGTACATGTCCAAGGATATATATATATATAACTTGGATTAACAGGACAGTAAATTGCCTCAAAATCATCCAAAGTTTTGACATTCAGCCTCCAAGATGGCTCAGTCCTGACCTCCTGGTATTTCAGCCAGTGTAGGCCCTTCCCACACGGCATGGGGCCGAGCAGTGTGCAGTGGGAAAGCATGGAGGTGGTGGAGGCCTACTAGATTACTCACCTTAAGGGGGAAGCTAGCTGCATGTCATGAGAGCACCCTATCGGTCTACAAAGAGGTCCACTGAGCTAGGAACGCGGGTCCTGCCAAAAACACACACCACCTGCGGGGCGTGAGTGTGCCACTTTGGAAGCAAACCTCCAGCCCCAGCCAAGCTCTCTGACGAAGGAAGCCTCCCCAGAGAACCTGAGCCAGAATCACTCAAGCTAAGCCACTCAGATCCTGAGCCCGGAGTAACTGTACCGGACGGTACATGTTCACGTCAGGCTGCTAAGTCTGTGCAGTGATTTGTTATGTAGAAATAAATAATACACGGAGTTCTTGAGACATGTACAAATCCACTCCATACAAATCGTGGAAAATTTTCCTATAATGTTATCTACTGAGATGAGAAGACTAAGAACTTTCAGTTGTGAACAGTTAAGAAGTTGAAAGTGTATGTTATTCGGGTGAGCATTTCATACATCAATCTTTGTAGGACAGCTGACAATTTCCAACTATGGGTTACAGCTGGGCTCTAGACTGTATTAGGTAATTCATTTT